ACAGATTCCTTTTATGGTGTGATAACATTTAGTTCAAGAGACAGCCCTCTTCGTTACCGGCCATGCCTCAGAATCCACTGCTAGTAGAGAGATAGGGGAGAGATAGAGGCTTGTAATGAATAAACCAGGCCTGGCCGGGAGTGTTTCACCCCAGGAAAGTAAAACCACTCACCAAGAGTTCTGGAAGCAATAGATCAAACCCTATAAAGAACTTTCATTTTCTTGGCACTCTCTACCCCTGAACTTCTCTACCATGAGACTTTGAACCAAGGTCCCTATTCTTAGATTCACAACATCCCTACTGTTGCCAAGAGTTTTGCTCCTCTGGCTTATTTTATTTTCCTAAAGTACATTTTCTTCGTCAGCCCCATGGACAACAACCTTCTCCAACAACTTAAAATAGATTTTAAGCTTTGTGAGGCTTTCCTGTGTAACTCAGGTTCAAAGTGTTTGTTCCTATATAGAAACAAGTCTTGCTTAATCATTTTTATTGTTCTTGGCTACAGTTCTTGGATTAAGACACTTTATAACAGGAAGAGACACAGTGGCACATACACTAAACTAACCTAACCTTTTGTTGGGAACACCAAGAAGCAAAGATTAAAAGCCCAGATCCTTCAAACTCAGGCTGCATAAACAGTAATAAATTAAGATTTTCCACAAACATAACATTTCTGTCATGTGAGAAAATGCGGGAAGCATTTCAGTGTTTTTGCCGGCACTGCACAGTGAACATTTTTTTCACTTGCTAATTAACCCTATCTCTAGTCTGAGACATGAATAAGGTTGCCGGCACCAAGCAGTCTTCTGACATTTAAAGAGAACATACCAGGTAAGAAGCTGGGTAGGCAGCGACTCCCACCCTTATCATCACCATCAAATATTTCTAACTGTTTACTCTGCTGAAATACACAGCATATGCCAGAGGGAGTAATCAATTTGAAATATGTCCCATAAATTCAAAGTAGCTTTCCTACTTTGGAGTGTACAAAATTAGTAACTTCTACATGTGATGTAGGAAGAGAGGGAAAAAATTACATACAGTGAGGACAGGTATAAATTTAAGTATAGAAACATGAAATTTGAAAAGCAGCTTCTTTGCGCTACTTTAGCTCACAAGTCTTTCTTCCCACTTAGTAGAAATAAAAGGAAAAATCTCAAGTACTACAGATAAAAGTGTTCGGTGGCAGTTATTTATGAAAATGGATAAACTGGCCTTTTGTTAAAGTCTATTTATTTATTTATTTACTTTGAGACAGAGTCTCACTGTGTCGCCCTCGGTAGAGGGCTGTGGCATCACAGCTCACAGCAACCTCAAACTCTTGGGCTCAAGTGATTCTCAGCCTCCCTAGCAGCAGGGACTACAGGTACTCACCACAAGGCCCCTCTATTTTTTTTGGTCTGGTTAGCAGGCATGGCAGAGTTCGAACCCCCCAGCCGTGGTGCATGTGGCCGGCGCCCTAACCACTGAGCTACAGGTGCCGGGACAAGTCCTTTTAAAACATGCTACATTTGATAGAGTCTATCTCAAGTGTGGGCTCAAAAGTAATTTACGGTTTCTTTAATTTTCTGACCTCCCCATATATCTAACTGAATGATAATGCCATGCATTGATTATATATTAATACTTCTGTCTTGAATACAAAGCTTCCTTCTTTGACATAATATCCCATTTATAACTATTGCAGAAGAAAAAAAACGAGATGGAGGCAACTCAGTAACTCTTCTACAAGGCAGTGTGTGTACAGCACCCCGAGTGCCTGTTTCTTCTCAGAGTGAAGGGATTCCAAGACTCTCTCCAAAGTCCAAAAGTCAATGACGTCTACCACGCCTCTTCACCATACCCAGTAAGCAATGGAATTTATTTTGTTGATTTATTAAATTCATGAGGAGCAAAAAAGACGTGAAAAAACCACAATAGCCAACCTGGTTGGGCAGGAGACACCAAGCTGTGATGACACCAGGCACAATATCCCAAATCCATCCTAGTTTCTAGGGCTGGCTGGCAGTGAGGTGGCAGTTTGAGGACAAGGAGAGCTCACACAGACAACACCATCGTGTGGGGGACACTATGCAACATCTTAGAAGACTTTACAATTTAATTAGATGCTACTGGTACCTTCTGGACAACATTACATATTTACAAGTAAACAAATGTGACAGTCACTGTTTCACAGCTGTAAGGGAATCTTTTGGGCAAAAGCAATAATGCATTCTACTTCAAATCACTCCCGAATTTAGGAATAACACAATCTCAAGCATCTAGGGCCTAAAAGACATGTGTCAACTATATCCAGTTGATCAAACTGGAATTGAAGGCCACATAACAGATTAACACAAAATGGCCATTTTCTCCATCACTTGAAAGTTAACACATGGATGCACATGTGTATCCATGCCGTAAATTTTATAGGTGGTATCAAAAATTATTATGTGTGTGTACATATAGTATCTGGCTTTCAAAAAAGTTTAGAGGATGTCCACCTATTTTTCATATGCCCTTATACAATACCTCTGAGAGGTAAGACATGGTTTCTGTTATACTTATCTACTTAGTTACCAAATTCTTTCAAAGAGCATACAATTCAATGCCAGAGAAAAGGTCACAAATGTAGTAAGTGTAAGTAAAAGATGTGAACAAAGACAAAAAGAACAGACCAAAAATAACTGATGGAAGAAAAGAGAGAGGCAGACATGAAATTAAATACATAGGACCCCTGTAAGTTGACCACCCAAGAGAATGTAACAAACTGGTCAACATATAGAGGTGGTCCACGTAAGGACCCAGGCCTGCTGTATTGATATGCAAAGGTACAGCACGTTGTTGTATAAAAATTAGGTCAACTTAAGGAGGTGGTGAACTCCAGAAGCTCCACTGTGATTTCAGGAAGAAAACAAAATGTAAAGAATTAGGTGCTTGATGCTCCCTTTACTCCCTTCTCCTTTCCAGTCATCACAAAACTCTCTTTATCGTGGGCCACACCATCCTTTTTCAGCCGTCATCAGTTTCCTGACTTCTCTGTTTCTGCCTTAAGGAATCCTGATATCCACGCTGCAAGGTGTTCTTCCCACCCACCTGAGGACAGCGATCATCTTCTACATTCAGATAGGTGAATCATTATACCCAAACCATGAGAGTCATTTACCCAAACCAATTTTACTAAACTTCTAAAAATACAATATGAATTTAAGGTTCTATCACCCAGGGTTATAAGAATTTTAAAGTCTGCATTATCCTAGAAGAAAAATGTCATCTATACCTCAAAATTTCTCAGTGCACATGGACTTAAAATTACCAAGCAAAGTTAAATATGTCGCCTTATGGCACATGACTACCAGGGGTGCAAATGTCACAGCAGGACAGGAATGGGTAAATAACAGGCCATCGTATATGTTGTCCCCTTCGTGGGTTGGGATTAGGGGACAGCTGTCTTGGGGAGATGCTGAACCCAAATCTACACATACCACTGTGCTTGCTTCACCAGGCAATTCCAAGGTAATTAACATACTCTGCCATGACAGAAATAGCAAGAAAGCTCCAAATAGATGAATTACAGAAACCTACAGAAGTAAAGGTTTGATATCTGAGTCTCCCGATCATCCTAACAGTAACTTACACCTCACTTACCAAAAGTAAGTCGAGGCCTCTTACAGACCGCCTAGGATTGTTTTCAATCCTGATGATAAACAAGTGCACTCCTATGGTAATGCAACGGAAGCTGAGAAGAGCTGTAATCTCCGTAGCCAACTAAATCTAAACTAAAAACCATGGGCAGAATTACCTATTGCAATCCCGGTTCATTAGGAATTTGGAACTTTGAAGATGGGTATATTTGTTATGCTGCACAATCCTTGCTAATCAGATACTGCCCTTTACACACCAAGGTGATGCACCTGACATGCATCATGGGGAAAGGTTACACGCAGGCTTGAACTTGGAAACCTTGCCTTCCAGTAGAGACAGATAAGGTAAAACAGCTCCCCTTTCTCTCTTGGCATCCTAGATGGGAGGCAAGAATTTAGAACTTGACCAGAGAGCATCCAGCTGTAAAGTCTCAAACCAAGGCCTTAAAATAACTGATTTCTTAACTTGATGGCTACTGAGGGGCATTTTATGTTGCACGGTGCTGTACATAATCAATCAATGCAGATTACTAAGCCACCCTCAGCAGACACTGGCCCAGTCTGGTTGGATGTAAAGACAGCAAACTCCAGTCCTGGAGTTGCTCAGGGCTCCTGCTTAACTTTCTTAAGGAAGCTTAAAGTGAATGGACTCAGTCAGTACTGGCAGGCAAAGCCCATGGCTACCAGTAACCTCCAAAGACCAGCAAGACTTTCTTGTTTTTTGCCCTGGATTTGTTCTAACAACCAAACTCTTTTTCATTTCCCATCTCCTTCTCTCTCCAAAATATTCATGAATGCCTGAAAACAATATACCTACAACCTCACAACACCAATTAGACCAAGTATAAATGATGCAATATAAATCATTTTTTAAAAAATCTTGTCATATTGACATGCAGAAAACTCTAGCACCAAAAACAAAATATATATATATTTTTGGAGAGAGAGTCTCACTCTGTCACCGTGGATAGAGTTCCATGGTGTCATCCTAGCTCACGGCAACCTCAAATTCTTGGGTTGAGCAGTCCTCTTGCCTCAATCCCCTAAGCAGCTTGGACTACAGGTGTTCACCACAGACCCAACTAGTTTTTCTACTTTTCTACTTTTAGGGTCTTGCTCTTGCTCAGGCTGGTCTCTAACTCCTGAGCGCAAGCAATCCACCCGACTCAGCCTCCCAAAGTGCTGGGATTACAGGCATGAGCTACTGTGCCCATTCACCAAAAACGGCGTTAACACTACAAATTTATTACAAAAGATATTTCTTAAAAAGTCTTTGTGTAATTTACTTGAAAGAAAGAAAAACTGGTAGAAATGAAAGCATACTGATTTTATATTCCTTTCAGTGAATCAGATTACAACTTTTCTAGTTCACCAACCTCAAGTTCAGGTACGTCAGCATCTGTAGATTGACGATGGCCTCAGGAATGACTCGGATACAGTTGTGGTACAGATTAAGAATTTCCAGTGATACGAAATGGCACAATTCCATTGGAACTTCAACCAGTCTGTTTTTAGATAAATCTATGAGGAGAAGAAAGAATATTTTGTCAATAAATCGTCAACATGATCAATACAATCTTATCAACCATGGGCACTGTTTTTCTTAACATTATAAATTTAGACAAACATTATCGATTTTTTTGTACCTCTGTTACTACAGTGTTGTGATTTCTATTTCCTGGTCAAATTCAGGGACACATGAGGTGTGAAAAAGCAAGAATACTGCTAAAACTATTTAGCTATCTAAAGGGGAACTTTTTTTTTTTTTTTTGCGACAGAGTCGCCCTTGGTAGAGTGCCATAGTGTCACAGCTCACAGCAACCTCTAACGTTTGGGCTTAAGCGATTCTCTTGCCTCAGCCTCCCAAGTAGCTGGGACTACAGGCATTGGCCACAATGCCCAGCTATTTTTGTTGTTGTTGTTGCAGCTGTCATTGTTGTTTAGCTGGCCAGGGCTGTGTTTGAACCCGCCAGCCTGAGTGTATGTGGCCAGTGCCCTACCCACTGAGCTCCAGGCACTGCCCTAAAGGAGAACTTTTTACTTTATCTAAAAATTATCTCCATCTCATTCTACCCTAGATAAATTTATCTGAATACATATATTTACCATAATTATTAATTAAATTTTGTATTTATCATACATGAGAGCTTTCCAAAAAGTATCCAGCCATATAGTATGAAAAAATGGAGACAGATATGGCTAGATAGATACCTCTGGACAGCCCTCAGATATTGTCTCTCCCTCTGGACTATAATCTCATTTACATATAAGGAAATGTCTTTACACCCTTGACAAATGAGCATATAACAGACGCTAAACAAATGTATTCACTAGAATTACTAATAATCCGTAACAATTGTGTCTGTTAAGAACCAACACTGTGATGCTGCAAGACCAGTAATAAAACTGGACCCCACGGCCAATGTCCCAAAGATGGCAGTGATGGTCCACTGTATGGAGCGATGCTACCACATAGCAGGGCTTATGGTATGACCATTCCAAAAACAAAACTAATATCCTTAATATTAGATACTAGAGTTCTTATATTCTTGCCTCATATTCGGTGTTTTGTGGCATTTGGTGGTTGTATCAGTCATCCCCATTTAGATATTGAAGTCCTTAATATCTAGATAGATATTAAAGTCCTTAACATCTAAATGAGGATGACTGATATGACCACTAAATGCCACAAAACACCGAATATGAGGCAAGAGCCGCCACTCTTGAAAACAGCCCGCAATAGCAGATCACCTCACCCCGTAGAGGAGGGCCGCAAACAGCATCAGCTGAAGATGTCCAGTAAACAACATGTAACATACACTCACCTCCCTAAAGAATCATACCTTGGCCAAAGGGAAAAACATGGAAAACTTCCTAAGGTCAATACAACAGATGAAACAGAACCCCAGAGCTACCTTCCCTCCAGGAAATAAATACCCAGAGAAAGGACTAGATGGCTTTAGGAACAGAATTCTAACAAATGTTTAAGAAATAATTCTGATAATATTTAAACTATTCCAACCCTTATAAAAAGAAGGAACGCTTTCAAATTTTTATTTTAAAAGTGAGGTATAGCAGTGATTCTATCAGCTGACAAAGAAGGTACACAGTAGGGAAACTACATATGAACCCCCCTTCTAAATACTGATGTAAATTTAATTTTTTTTTCTTTTAGCCGGGACCGGGTTTGAACCTGTCACCTCCGGTACATGGGGCTGGTGCCCTACTCCTTGAGCCACAGGTGCCGGCTGTAAATAAATCTAAATTTTAAAAATAGCATATAGGATTGAGTAGCACATAATATGATCGACCTACTCTGAACGAGGGGGGCTTATTCTATGACCTTATATTACTAAAACAACACACCATACAAGCAGACCAAAGTGAAAGAGCATGTGATCATCTCCATGGACAAAAACATTGGATAAAATATGACATTCATTTTTTTTAAAACAACTTTGAGGCATATTTCACATTTCATAAAATTGATTCATTTCAAATTTACAACTCAATGATTTCTAGTAAACAGTGCCTTCAGCACCATAAATGGGGGGGGTTCCATTTGTTTTTATATATACATTCAGGCAGCACAAGTTAAATCTTGCTACATTAATATATTTATCGCATTGTGGTGAAGTCAGAGCCTTCAGTGCATTGAAGCAATAAACACTGTATCCACAAGCAATCTCCCACCATCCTCCCTAAATCAGTTTTAGAACATTTACATTGATTCTTAATACAACTGCTTCACAAAATAGAATAGTTGGCCATTCCCTTACAAAATTTATACGTGTGTGTATAGACAAAAACAAAGATGAGACAAAGAGAGAGAAAAGAGAGGCTTTTATTTATCACTAAATCACATAAAACTAAAAATGTTAGCATCGAAGTCAAGACATCACTACTAAATGATCACTACTGTTTGTGATTTTTTAGGAGATACTAGCTAAAGACACGAGACCCGGAAAGGCAAGAAGAATCAAAACTGGAAAGAAAACTGAATTGTTATTTGCAGATAATATGTTTGCCTTCCTGGAAAAATCTAAGTATTCACAGGAGAGCTTTAACAATGATACAAGAATGTAATAAATAATGAAAGTACAGAATAGAAAACTTATCTACTGAAATAATAGCTTACACATACACACACTAGCAAAAAGACAAGAAGAGACAATTTATATACCAGCAAAGGGAAGACTCCTAGAAAATCTTAAGGAACATGCAAAGCTGATATGAAGAAAACTTTAAAATGCTAAGAAACAGAAAAGAGGTTCGGCGCCTATAGCTCAACCAGCTAAGGCGCCAGCCACCTACACCTAAGGTGGCGGGTTCGAATCCCCAGCCCGGACCCGCCAAACAACAATGACGGCTGCAACCAAAAAATAGCCAGGCGTTGTGGCGGGCGCCTGTGGTCCCAGCTACTTGGGAGGCAGAGGCAGGAGACTCACTTGAGCCCAGGAGTTGGAGGTTGCTGTGAGCGTGATGCCACAGCACTTTACCCAGGGGGACAGCTTGAGGCTCTGTCTCAAAAATAAAAAAAAAAGAAACAGAAAAGAAACAAGACTCAGCATTAAAAAAGGTGACAATCTTCTCTAAGTTATAACCACCCAGTTTCATACATTCCCAATTTCAAAAAATTCTTGAATATTTTTTTATTTGCAGCAGTTATTACACGAATTTATTCTAAAGTTCACGTAGTACAATAACACAAAAATATTCAGGTATTCCTCAAAAAAGGGGAGCTATGAAGGGACCAGCTCTCCAGGACTTGAGAAACACATCATAAAGCAGTGTGATGGACAGATGGGAAGACCAATGGGACAAGGCCAAAGGGACAAGTAACCAAGATGGGAAGTAGGCTAAAGAGATACAGGGACAGAAAGCGTGTACAAAATAAAGGGGCATCTCAAATCATTAGGGAAGAGATGTGAGGTCAGGAAAATGTTTGAGAGAAATGGATAGCCGTCCAGAATGAACAAACCAAAAAAGGATGACCTACCTACCTCACACCTTTCTAAATGAATTCTAAATGAATCGGGGGATTGATTGTGAAACGTGAAGCCCTAACACAACCAGGGCAACACATGGAAAATCTGTGTTGATGGTCTCGGAAGGGGGAAGGCTTTCCTATGAACAGCACAAAGCAAGATTCACAAATTCAATACATGAAAACAAAACCTGTGACATTTCAAAACAAACCGAAACTTCACCACAAACAGAACTGACAACAAATGGAAGAGGAGGAAAAGTTCTACAATTCAAAAATACAACAGGCTAACTGTATTAATACGTAAAGAGCTTCTACAGTCAATAATAACACAGATAATAAACAAAAAAGGGGGAAGAAATGGGTATGAACAGATGGCTCAGAGTAAAGGAAACAACAGGTCTTAAAAATATGAAAAAATGATCAACCTCATTCAAATTGTAGTGACGCAAATTACAACTACATGAGAGAGTATTTTTCACCTATTAGACTAAAGAATATCAAAAAGTTTGATAAATACATTGTAATGCTGAGGACATGGTGATGTAAATATTTTAGTAATAGCTGTCAAAATTACAAATGTTTACACACTTTAATCTAGCAATCTTTCTCATCTATAGATATTCTCATCTATGAGAAAATGACATAATTTTTAGCATGGTTTAAACAGCAAAAGATGGAAAACAAAACAGCAGAGGACTGGCTGAATATTAGTATACTGTTAATAAATATAAATAATAGTAAAATTAAATCGATTAATAAATATTAATATAATATTAATTTTATGTCATGTGATAGAATGTAATATTAAACATGTTCCATAACAAAATGCTAATATTCAACTCCATCTAGGTAAATACAAAAGATCTAAAGTCGGCTCGGCGCCTATAGCTCAACCGGCTAAGGCGCCAGCCACGTACACCTAAGGTGGCGGGTTCGAATCCCCAGCCCGGACCCGCCAAACAACAATGATGGCTGCAACCAAAAAATAGCCGGGCGTTGTGGCGGGCGCCTGTGGTCCCAGCTACTTGGGAGGTGGAGGCAGGAGACTCGCTTGAGCCCAGGAGTTGGAGGTTGCTGTGAGCTGTAATGCCACGGCACTCTGCCCAGGGGGACAGCTTGAGGCTCTGTCTCAAAAAAAAAAAAAAAAAAAAAAAAGATCTAAAGTCTCCATCTTTTTTATGGTTGAACAGTACTCCATGGTAGACATTATACCACGGTTCATTAATCCATTCGTGTGTCAATGAGTCTATGGGTTGATTCCACATCCTGGTTATTATGAACTGAGCTGTGATAAACATTAATAGTGCAAATGTCCTTATAGTAAAATGATTTTCTTTCTTCTGGGTAAATGCCTAGTAATGGGATTGCAGGATCAAATGTTAGGTTTACTTTTTAACTGTTTGAGGAATAACCATACTTCTTTCCACAGAGGCTGCATTAGTTTGCAATCCCACCAGCAGGATAGAAGTGCTCCCTTCTCTCCACAACCATGCCAGCATCTGCAGCTTTGGCACTTTGTGAGGGGGGTTTG